GGCGGTGGTTATGGGGGAGGATATGGTGGTGGCAAAGGAGGCTACGGCGGCGGAGGCTATGGTATGAGCAAAAATAGTTATGGCGGCGGCGGATATGGCGGTGGCGGACACGGAGGCGGAGGATATGGAGGCGGTTATGGAAAGAGTGGTGGCCTAAGAGGCGGCTACGGAGGCGGTGGTTATGGCGGTGGCAAACGCGGTGGTTATGGAGGCGGCGGCGGTCACGGCGGAGGCGGAGGCTATGGCGGCGGCAAAAGAGGAGGCTATGGCGGCGGCGGTGGATATGGAGGCGGAAAGAGAAGAGGCGGTTACGGAGGCGGCGGCGGATACGGTGGCGGCAAACGTGGCGGATATGGCGGTGGAGGTCATGGCGGCGGTAGACGAGGTGGTTATGGTGGCGGACACGGAGGCAAATATGGAAAATAAATTGCTAATTACTGCCAATACTGTATAAAGTAAATAATACTTATAAAAATTATATTAATTATTCTGTGATTTAATTGAAATATTTTTTTTTATAAATTTTGTAAATTCAAGATATCATAAAGAGATATAATTTAACTAAATATATACTTTTTAAAAATGTATTTACAAATACAATCCTATTCGACATTAATATTGTTTATAATATTATTATGAGAATGCATTCAAAATGAGTTTTATTGAAAAATAAATTTTTAATTGTTTTAATAAACAAATCGTTGTATAAAATACTTTCATTTTATGAAATTCATAACATATTTAATTAACAATAATATTATTATAACATTTGATTCTTTATGACTGAATTTACATAATAAATGTATAGAATCTATATTATAGATATAATATATCGTAAACTTTGCAACGAGTTGCCCGAATATATGGGGGAAATAAGGTTTGAGTTTAGATTGTGATAAAATCAAGTGAGAAGTATATTACTAGAACAATTGGGAGCTTGATCATTTATCATAATTAATAAATAACATTTATGCTAAAACTATTCAAACAAACTCATCTTATAACTACATTTATCTGAAGCCCAACTCAATGGTATTGCGTAAGCATAGGATATAACATAGAGTAATACATAGTGTAGTTATATAAGAGCACCGGTAAGTGGTTGTAGTGTTTGGGGGCTCAGAATAGTGAGGAAAAGTGAGCACAACATTCAATGATAATCTATATATGGGTGCAAAACATGCGCATACGTAACAACATCTATGTTGTTTTATATTTTGAATTGCATTAAATACACAAAACCACCACAATTTCCACTGATATACATATTTATGGCCAAAGTTTTGCGATCAAATAGTTTGTAAATCGCGTTTGAAATTACATTAATCATGGACTTCAAGAATATATTAACGCCTAAATATATATTAACATATTCTATATATTTCTGCTACTTTTCAAATGTAAGTATTCGTACACATGGTATGTGTGAATAATTGTAGCTAGATTGTTTTATTGGTCAGGCGGTGAACTATGGTATAGTGGGGGCAACACTCACATCGTTGGCCACCATATATAACAAGTCGTTGGAAGAGATCATGATCATTGTGACCATAAGGACCGCAACCTATGTTATCGGAGCCTTAAGTAATGTATACTTATATTTATATTGCAATCGTTTTGTGTGAATATTTAAATTTATGCTAAATTCTGTGCAACGATTGCATCATTCATTCAATTGAGATATTTATAGAAGTTTTTGCAAAAACAGTTAATGCTTAATAAAACACTAAACAATACAATTAATCTGTGAATTCGCTAATTATAATTGAGGTGTAATTTTGATAAACAAAACAAAATCATAAAACTTTTATTTTATTTTTACTTATTTCATGCTAACTATGATAAAATTTTACTTAATTTAAATATTAAATAATTAGAGTTTAGATTAGTTTTGAAGGCTATTATAATTAGCCGAAGAGGAGAGCGAGAATTATATTAAAAATAAAAGTCACTTCTTTTTGTTGAATAACTTAACGCTCAAAACCAGTGAATAATTTTTTGTCTTATTATACGATAAACTCTACGATAATCAAGATTTAAATAATTAATATTGTATTTCATATACGAGATAACACTAAATGTTAAATAATAGCAACTAATGCTATAATTGGTGTCACTATAATTATGACACTCCTGGGGTTATAACAATAAACACTTCCCAAAGTGCAAAGTTGTGATAAAACCAACTCTTCCTATACTTTAGACAATGCACTCGAGAAGTGTTAGAAAAGTGATAACCAATCCATTGATTTATTGTCTATTCAATATATTAATATAGATTTAATCGTATAACTTAATTAAGTTTTATGCTATTTCTCAGACCAATGCATATAATGTTATCACATTTATAGTACATTTTGAGAGTACTTTTTTAAAATGCATTGTTAGTATTTTTAAATTGCTATAGTTTCATTCATTTACAAATTAAAATATGAACACTAAGATTGACATACAGTATCTCAAGTCTCAAATATCAATGGTATTAAGTTTTGAGTTAAAACAACTATAATTAGAGTTAAAGGGAGAGTGAGATAACCAATTGATGCGATAAACCTGTTTTGCGGGGAATCTATTTCTTAAGTTAATTGGACTCATATTGAGTGATATTTTAAGATTAAAAAACGACTTTACATTTGGACAGACATCAAACTTCTTGGGGTTAGTTATAGGAGATGTATCGGTAGATAATTACAGAATTACCGCGTTTGAAATGTTTGAAACATATTTGCGTGAATAGTATTTACTAATTTAAATGTCAATGAATTAAACAAATTTATTTTGTATTACAAATGCATTCATAAATATATGGTAGTATAGTAGTAAGACATTCCTGGAATTGATATTTTTACGAAATTATATTAGTAAATTTAAATTATATTGTATATGTTATTAATACAATATGTTATTAATTATGATAGTGAAAAATAAAATATAAATTTTAATCTTAATTCATTCTTTGTAATCACACCCACAGCTGGTTTCGGCTACAAATACGTAAACAGACAAATAAGTCTTATAGTATCCACAATAACAATGGGCTTAACTCTTGGTTTACTTCCAACTGTTAAATCGTTTCCTGTTTTCTGCATCATTGGAGCCATAAATGTATAATCAATGAAACATTTATTAAATTTCAATTCATTAAATTGTATGCATTGTACGTAAGGGTGTGGCCGCGGGTGCGAGCGATACGGCCAACAATGCCTGGATATTGGAGATGTGGGACGAGAAGGTCGGTCCCTATCTATTGGCGATGCACTTCTGTTTCGGCACCGGAATGGTTATCGCACCGCAAATCGCCCGACCCTTCCTCATGGGTGACGCCTCTTCAGTAGTGATGGCTTACGTGATCTGCGCCTCCATTATCATCATCAGCGGTATTGTCGTCACGTTTGTCATATTCAGCGGCAAATATAGGACCACCGAAACCCAGCCCATAGAGGATACGGCACCGAATGCGGCACAAGTGCCGTCCATTACCGAAGAACTGATACGCGAGTCGGAGAGACGCGAATTGAAGCCCGTTTACGGTGTTATGATCGCAATCCTCGGGTGTCTAATGTTGGCCACCTATACATCTATGGAAATGACATACTTCTCATACGAGTCAGTCTTCGCTCAGTTGTCCAGTTATAAGATGAGTGAAGCGGACGCCACTGTATTGAATACAGTTACGCTCGCCGTTTATACCATCACTAGAGGTCTGACTATTTTGTGCCAAAATTATTAAATATTAATAGTAACTTATATTAAAGTAGTTTTATTTTTAATTTTATTTATCAGGTGTCGATGTATTATTACTTGTGAAAGTATCAGCTTATATCATACTTCTGTATCACTTTATAATTATAATAACTTTCAATTTGGTGGCCATCTTCACGTCAAATTTGCCATCGAGTTGGCTCTGGATCTACAATCTAGGCATTGGTATTGGTTGCGGATCAGTTACGCCAACCATTTACACAGTTTTGTCACAAAACTTTACAATTGACGACAAAAAGACAGCAATACTATTGTTCGTCGGGGGAGGTATGGGTGCTTTATATCCATATATTGTCACCACAAACATAATGGCCTATCCATTAATCTTTATCTATATAAGTGTGACCACAATTGCCGTATGTATTGTATTCTTGTTTGCCATTAAATTTATTGCCTGGAAATTTGGACGCATTATAAGGCCACAGATGGTGGTGACCGCCGCCGATCTCACGGCCAAAGAGTTGGCCACTGAACTATCATCACTTGATATTTGATTTACGTTAAATATATTCTCATATCATAGACAGACAATTAATCTTTTTACACATATCGATTTAATTTGACAAATGGGTAGCTAATTCAGTATTAATTTATTAGATTTTACCAATTTTATGACAACACAGTATTGACTAATGTATATTTATAAGTTATTATCTGTTATAGAATTTAAATACTTTAGTAAATTTATCCCGGTTATAATTTTTATACTTATCACTTTTGTATTCGTTAAGTTGTATGGGAATTATTATCATAGAAGTTTGTATTATTGATGATTGTATTTTACCGATTATAGTATTAGATATATAAAAATATATTTATTAGAAGTTAATCAGATAAATCAATTAATAAATGTTAATTAATTGTTTCAATTTATTCTCGTTAATAGTGAATAATAAATGAATTGAGAGATAATAATCAAAATTCTTTGTATACCGAAAGGGATCAGATTCTGTGATACGATTGTCATCAGAATATCTATTATGTAAACAACAATGCATTGCAGGTGTGCTCTAATTCTTGCATTTTTGCCATTAGTTTTACTATAATTAGCATACATTTTGATGGCATGGATTCATAACTTCAATTGATTTGTGCGATTGGTTGTTATGTAATCACTGTTTATAATATAGACTATATTAACCATGTTGCAAACTAATATTAAATTACTGGACAGTATTTGAGTTTTAATTTTTTACATATTTAAAATATTTTAGTATTTTAAAATATAATTGTAATTGTAAATTTTAATTTAATAAATATGAATCGTGTATTTTCAAACTACGGTAATATTTAATAAAATAATATTACATGTGACTCTTCTGTTTAATAGCAAAACAAATATTAATTTTAAATACAGTAACTGTTATTATTTGCAATTCAATGAGAAAAGAGTAATAAAATATGTAATATTTTTATTCCCGATTTTAACAACTAAATCGATTCATTATTTTTTTGTGAACTATATTTTGTAAAATAAAAATAATAGATTATTCACATAAAAGTGAAATTTTTGCTTTTTAATGTACAGTAATGTTAAAACACTATTAAATACAACAAATGAATATTCAATTATTTTTGTGAACAGATATGCATTGAAATGTATGACATGTTTTCAAGAGTTATCGTAATTACAGGTAAATATCGGGTTTAATCTCTCAATTGATTATAAATTTAAAACAAAAACTTTATTATTTATTTGTCGCTTCTTTTAAAACACATTTTTCTGAACTTAAATACTGTATTTAATGTATGACTGGATTAGTAATCCATAGATTAAATCGTTTCAAACAAGAAGTTTTAAAACAGATTTTAATAGCGTTTTGCTTCTTATGAGGAAAAAATGATTTTTAAAATAAAATTTAATGCCTTTTAGAGGAAATTCACTACAAATAGTTTATAGACACGCTTTGCAATCCCTAACTGTTTTGTTATAATTATTAAATAAAATTAAAAATTTTAAAATAAATTTATTACAATTACTTTTTTAAAAACTAACGATAAGAACACGTAATCTCAATAAACTTTTGCTTATCTTATTTTGCTTAATATTTTTCAAACCATATCTCAAAATATCGTAAATCACTGTTTAATTTACGAAATATTATAAATTGGAGATTTAATTAAAAACCATTGCATTTAAGACTATAAGTACATTAAATCTACAAATTTAATAAGTTTTGCACACATTTACGCCAACACACAAAACTCAAACCAAATTTGTCATTAGTTTTTCAAATCCAGTTATTTATCAATTTCTCGTCGGCTAACTGTCCGGCATTGAGGGCCCCAACCAATG